ACTACCCGCTTTTGGCTCTATTTTCAGGGCTCTGTAAAAATTATAAATAATCGAGATACAGTTTCGGGAGTCGGGACTTTTTTTACGCAAATTCATTGATCTTTTCAAATCTTTTTTCAAATTTCCAAAATTTTGAAAATTTTCCGAGATATTGAGAAAAAACTAAAGCACCATTTTTTTTCTCTTAATTGTTTATAACTTTTGTAATTTTTATCGGCGTGTTTTCGGACCTTTCCTTGTAAACTTTCTAGGTAAAAATACAAATCGAATGACACCTTGGTTGTTATTTTTGGACAGGGCTGAAAAATGTCACCAAAAAGTGCTAAATCGAGTACATGTGGACCAGACTATAATAGGACACGTTGTTTTCGACAGTAGCCCAAACGAGTTCAATGGGATTCAAATCCGGATGGTAGGGTGGAAGTCGCAAAACGTTATGTCCGTGTTCAAGCAGAACCTCATTAAATTTGTATATAATATAATGTTTTTCATTCACCTTGATCAACTCGTATAATTCGGGTTTGAGCATTCTAGAGGTGAACATAATGCTTCGTTCGTGCAGCCACTTTACCATGTCAGCCTTCCTAGAATTTGTGTTGGGGGCTGGATTAATTTGAATATGGAGCATTATCGGTCACCAATACCGAATTCACAGGTAAATTTGGGATTAACTTTTCTTGTAAACATTTACCATAATTTTCAGAATTCATTTCTGAATGATAATCCTCTGATATTAGGTATAAAGTCTTTGTCCCTTCGTAACATCTTTAAATAACCCTTTGGTTGATTCATCTGTGCAGTTCTTGGAAGATGTATGTCCACTATGAACAGGGCCAAGCCGTGCCGGGGTGCAAGGGGTGCGTGGCACCCGGGCGGCGCTCGTTTGGGGCGGCAAAATGTACCCAAAAATATAAAAATATAAATAGGTATCAAAAAAATAAAATCAAAACGCCACGCAAGCAAAGTGCAAAAAAAAATAACATAACTGGCCAAATAGTTGCTATTAAGAAGATAGAGCGCCTTTCCCTGTGATGTTTAATATACATTAGTATAATAAAAACAATGGTACCAAAATTGTGCGTAGCTGGCGCTGACCGATGATATTACATGCAACGGCGGCGGCGTATAGAGAATTCCCCGATATTTTCGGGGATATCCCGAAACTATCGGGGAATTAATATTTCGGGCCGAAATCTATACGTCTAGGTATACGTGTTTCGTATTTTCTGGTTTTCTGTCATGCGAGTAAGTTATCGAAAGATAGTTGCGAATTTAATGGCAAGTTGCCTATTAGTGTGTTTTTTTTAATTCATTTCTGTTATACATTGTAAAATAAAATCAAAACGCCACGCAAGCAAAGTGCAAAAAAATAACATAACTGGCTAAATAGTTGCAATCAAGAAGATAGCGCCTTTCCCTGCGATGTGTAATATAATATATTAGTATAATAAAAACAATAGTATCAAAATTGTGCATAGCTGGGGCTGACCGATGCTATTATATGCAACGGCGGCGGCGTATAGAGAATTCCCCGATATTTTCGGGGATGTCCCGAAACTATCGGGGAATTTATATTTCGGGCCGAAATCTATACGTCTGTCTATACGTGTTTCGTGTTTTCTGTGTTTTCTTTCATGCGAGTAAGTTTTACCGAAAGATAGCTGCGAATTTAATGACAAGTTGCTTATTAGTGTGATTTAAAAAAAAAATATTTCTGTTATACATTGTATTATTATCACTGTATTGTGAATGGTAAGTTTATTCCAAATAGCTTTTTATGACCTACATATATTATATAAAGTTAAAGTAGTATTTTGCACTTTTTACTGATTCAATTTTTTTAGCATAAAAAAATGTTCGGTCTTTATTTTTGTTCAAATTATAAACTGTTATTTACTGATTTAGATGGCAGATGGTACTGATGGTAGAAAGAGACTTTCTGATTCACAATATCGAAAAAGAAGGATAGAAAAAGAGGGAGACCACAAGCGATTAGCTGGCTCATAAAAACGTTTTTTGTATCCACGACCGCCTCGACGAGTACGCAACCTCAACCTTCAACAAGCCAAGCCCTAGATGTTCAAACTTTTAAATTAAGTGAAAACGATGCAGAAGAACAGGACCAAAATAAATCGACCGCCGAAAACATTACACTGGACCAGGATACAACGAATACTCCCTCATCAAATAATACGCACACCGAATCCGAAACCGTATATATTGATGTAAGTGGAGAGCAATTCAAAGATCCAGCATATTGGCCAGAAGTATCGACAGATACTGTTAGACTAATAATTTTAGACATAGCATAGGTCCAGTACAATTAAAAAATATTATTTATCCTGTAAATAATTCAAACAGATCTTTTAGCTCTACTTACTTCGTAAAAAAGTTAACCAATAATGAAAAAGTACCTAGAAACTAGAGGTTCGAGAACATTTTTTAGGGTTCTGCAAAGTTGGCAACACTACTGGTCAAGGTTTAACTGATTTCATATTGAATTTTTTAAAGGAATCTGATATTAATATTGCCGATATGCGAAGCCAGGGTTATGACAATGGCGCCAATATGAAAGACAAACACATTGGCCTACAAAAAAAGTCTTAGATATTAATCCCAGAGCATTTTTTTTCCCTTGTGCGGCACACAGCCTTAATTTAGTCGCGAATGATGCAGCAAAAAGCTCGCTTGAAGTGACCAATTTTTTCAGTATTATCCAGGAACTATATGTCTTTTTTTCGGCATCAACATATCGATGGAATATTCTTTTAAAAGAAATGCCTAGGTTAACGCTAAAACCGCTCTGTGATACCCGGTGGGAGAGTCGAATTGATGCCGTAAAGACTCTTAGATATGAATTGGAAAAAGTTTATGATGCACTGTTAGCCCTTTATAATGATACATCTAGAGATAATGACACAAGGGATACTGCAAGTTCCCTGATTAATAAAATAAAATCATTTAAATTTATATGTTCCTTAGTTGTTTGGTACTATATTTTATTAAAAATAAATGTAGTTAGCAAAAATCTGACGTTATTTTACCAGAAGCTGTACAAATGTTAAATAGAATTAAAATATTTTTAACAGACATGAGATCCGACTATGGGTTCATAAATTTGCTCAATGAAGCTAAAAAAATAGCTCAAGAAATGGATGCAGAAATTTCATTTCCTGCAGTTCATACAGTTCGACCAAGAAGAAAAAAAACTTTTTATGAATATGAACATAAAGATGAGCCAATTCAATCTCCAGAATTACATTTTAAGGTAAATTTGTATTTTTATATTCTTGATATTGCCATCTCATAATTAGATGAGATATTTCAAGATTTAGAAACACATGTTGAATTTTTTGATTTGTTAAATAACTCAAGTGTCTTTTCTAAAGAGGAAATAATGAAATGTTGTACCAATTTAGAAATTAAACTAACTGACCCGGAAACAAAATATTTAGATATAAATGCAAAAGATCTTTAAAATGAGATTGATATATTGTCTATTTACATTACTAATAAAAATAATATGTCGGCCAAAGAAGTGTTAAGCCTATCTCATTGCTAACGAGTTGAAAGTAATGTTTCCTAATTTATTTGTTGTGCTTGGAATATTTTTAACTATGCCAGTCACTGTAGCTCATAGTTATAATAGGTATCGAGGAAGATATTTGTTTTAATTCAGATGTGACTGACCTAGTTAGGGAATTTGCACTTGAAAAGGCAAGAAAAGTCGATTTTTGTATTTAGACGTGTACACCTACCTATAGTCCGTTCATAATTTGTTGATAGCTCACTGCAAGTTTGACCCTCATTAGAGAACTGAAATACAGAGAGGACAGCTAATATGATATAATAACAAAAACCAAACTAAAACTGGCAGTTTAAGATGTTTTCGACTAACCCACCTTGTATCTGAAGAAATACAATACAGCTATAAAACTTTTAATCCGATTATGTAGGTATTTTGAGTGGNCCATCGCAAGCAATCAAACAAAACAAGCAGGAACGAAAGGTACGTATATGTTTGTAGGAATATGAAAAAAAGTTACTCACGCACTGCACAAAATTCGCAAAATAAATATTAGAGACGTTAATTACTGCCGTAGACGCCGAAACACCAACGAGCCGTAAATTAAATGCGATTAAAAAATGTACTAAACCAAAAATTATTTTCGTTCGTAACAACTTCACCCTTTCAAGGCAAGTTTCGAATATAAACTGAAGCTTTATATTTAATGAATAAACACCTCAGGAACCCCTCCGCCTATGATTTTACGAGTTTTACGACCGTTTTATGACTTGGGCCCTTATTTTGTGCTATCGACAAATTATGAACGGACTATAGTATTGTATTTTTTTCTTTATTTTACTTTATTTTTCGTAAAATCACTTTGTAGATTTTTGTATTTTGGTTATACCAAATTATATTTATGTACATAATATGTTGTATAAGCTCATATTAATGTTATAGGTATGTATCTATTCGTTGACTTAATAAATATATTTTTATGATTTAAATGTTCAAAATTATGTTTTTATTGATTTTCCCTAATTTGCGATGTTTTCTTATACACGTTTTCCAAAACTGCTGATGAGGCGGCAAATTTGGTTCTTGCACCCGGGTGGCAAAACCTCTAGGCTCGGCCCTGACTATGAAGGTATGTTTCATCAAAAAACACAATTGGTCGCTGTTGGCTACGAAAATTGATTTTTTGTGAATACTTGATCCTCAATGCTCTAATGTCCATTTTCTCTATTAAAATTTTTCTATTATTTTCAGTCCTTCTTCATTTGAAGCCTATTTTTTTTAATTCTTCGAAGAGATGTTTCAGAAGCCACAATTCCCAAAACGCCATTATATTCGTGGTGGAAATTTTTTACCGTAATACGTCATCCTTTCGTCTTATGAATGTCGTAAATAATAAATCTAATATTGGAATACTCATACTCGGGAATATCAGTTACTGGTGCTCTTCTAGGCCGCTTCTTTCTTGGAATGGAACATTTTACTTCTCCGTTATTTGCAGAAATCAATTGCTCCCCTTCTTTAACCACTTTTTAAATGGGTCTTATCGAAATATCTAATACAAAATAAAGATTTGTGTTGAAATTGTTATTTTTCACATTTGATAACGTATCCAAATCATATTTAACACTTTGAAAATAATGCTTCAAAAATTATTTTACGTGCCTGACTCTTGTTAACTGTATTTTTGCAAAGCGATGACATTTTTTCTGAAACAACATAAATTATTCAGACAATGCCAAACGCCAACAACGTTGGAGGACAAGTAGTGATACGCCTCTGTACAGAGCATTTGTATGTCTTACAAGAGCTGTAGTGGAGGTTACATTGAAAATGAGTTTGTGCGCATGGCGTAGGTCACGCCATCACGTTTGGCGCTCGCTGTATCTAGCTAGTATCCATTTTTAGAGACCAGAAAAATCTAGTGTAGCTCAACGGCAATAGAATAAATGGAGACCGTGTAAAATTGTTGAGATCAGTACAAGGCACTAGTTTTTTTATGCTTTCCAAAGTCTGCAAATAGCAAAGTGTGGTATGAGAAACAAGTGTTCCAAAATAACTCAGCTTTCAGTACAACAGTTCATGATTCAAGGTATTGAATGCCTGACAAAGTCCGATTAAAACAAAATAGTGGTATGTTTTCAATATATATTCACTATGGCAATTAAAATATTACATAACAAATAATATTTTGGTCAAAATAACAGACAATAAAATTCATTTCAAACCTTTTAATATTACACAAGTTAACCATTTAATTGCTATTTAATAACAATGTGTTGACTATTATTAGATTTAAGTTAAATAAACAGTTTATTTAGAACATTTTCCCCGTGTAGACTATGTACAGAAATTCTTCAGATGAAAATTCATCTGAAACATTTTTTTCATTTTCCATTAAGTTTGTACTTCTATCACTCGTAGTGAAATTGACAAATTGCCTCTAGCTTGTTATTTCGTTTTCACGGTTTTCTATTCGATTACTTATACATGTATTGTAATGTAGTCAAATAAATATATTCTATTCTATTCTTAATCCAACTGTAAAATATATTTATTATTTCAGACATGTTTCTTGATCTGATCTGGAAATTTGTTTGAATTGTGTCATTTGAAAAATGACACAAAAATATATTGTTGTTTTTGAACTTTAATGCTTCATGCAATGAGGTGGTACCAAGAATTTCACGAGAAAATACTCAATAATTCAGAAGTTCTAAAAAAATCAATTTTTGAATTTTGTCTTTATGAAGAAACACAAAATTAAGAAAATAAAATCGCCCAGGTAAAAATCACTCGTGAATTGAAAAATCATTCGAATTGTATGTATTTGAAAATATCAATAGAAAATGGAGTAAATTTGGAACGTTGACTTTTGAAGTTCTAAATCACTAATTTTACTCTAAAATACTTTCGAATTTTGTGTTTATGAAGAAACACAAAATTCACTCGGTTCTCTGTACAAAGTCGGAGATTTGATTCACAAGATTGATAGATGTTGAATCGGCCAATCTCTTGATGTCTTCTTCGATTTTAGTATGCTTGGTTTTTAAATCTGAGAGCTTCTGCTTCATTTTTTCATTGAAATCTCTCAACATTTCTCCGCTTTTAGTTTCGATTCCAACACGTAGATTTGTCATGACAGTGGAAATGAGACTCTCAATTTCATGGTTGACATTTCTTGGTTCACGAATATTTGGGTCGAACTCCCTTGAAGTGTTCAAACTGTGGTATCCTTCATCAACAGTGTTTTGTCTACTGCGGGGGCGTCGTGGTATGTAGATGTAAGAGGTTTCTTCGACAATCACCCTCACTTTAGAAGCATTTGGTTTTATGGAGGAACGTACAAATGTAGGTCTGGTTGTGCTGGGCTGTCTTTGGGGCGCCGAATTCTGGAAAAAGTATACATTTCAGGTTACTGAATAGCATATTTGGTATTAAAAAACCTCGGGAAATGCTGAATATATCTCCTAAATCTCAAAAAGATATGAAAGTATTTTGTTGACTATAGTACAATTCCATGATAGAAGGCACTAAGTTCTCAGGAATATTGTTGCATTAAAACGAAAACATTATTGTCAAGGTTGTGATTCTACATCATCATCATTTTTCCTCATCTGTTTAGTATAATTTCCGTACGCCACTGCAACAGAAAGTCAGTCATCAGAGAATTTAGTGTCTATTTTGGAATTATAGTAGAGCTCTTGTTGAATAAGTCACTGATATCATGAACTTTGTCTTAAACGTCATCAATCAAATGATCAGGACTCTAGTGCAGAAAAAAACTATTGTAATCTGTTTCCTAATAGTAAAAAGTAATAAATGCTCATTAGGAATGCAACATGCTAACTCGAAAAATAAAATATGTCAAAAATTGTTAAACGAAAAAAAAATGTTTCCCTACTTTTACAAATATCAGAATAATTGTCATATATTCTTATAGAACTTTATACATCCTATGAAATCTAACACATTTTCAGTATGGTGAACAAACATATATGTGAAAAGAATACTGAAATCTGAATAAATTATCATATTTGAATTACAAGTTACAGAAGTCAGTGTTTGACAACTTTATTCAATGTCATACATAGTTTTCAGAAATTTCAGAAACTTCATAGTTCAGCAAGTAGAGAAAAAACATGCATAATCGATATCGTCAAGAGAAACGAGTAGCTATTCAAAACTGAAAGTATTGATGAGTTTTTAAAGTCCCTTCTGAAAAGGTGAAACACGTTATAAAATAGTGACGAAGAACTTGAGAAATATTGATTAACTCAAAGTCACCAAAATTGCGACTTATATGGAAAACTACGTAACAACAACTGTTGTTAACCCAGGAGTTCAGAATCTGTATGGAAAAAATGGAAAATATCAAGTTTTCTTACAAATAATTATTACCTGAATATGATTTCTGTGATATAGGTTGTCATATTCTTTCTCATAAATTCGGTAAATTTTGCATTCTCATCAATTTGCACGGCATGATTCAATAACCTTATAAATGTGCGGCTACATCAACCTTTGAGAATCTTGACAAAATTCTTCAATATTCCAGTGGGATTTTTGTTTCATAAAGTTAGTATTTAGGTAAATCGTTATTCTAATTTCGAAGAAAAACAATGAATTTGTTTAATATTGATGAAAGTTAACAAAATATAAGCCAGCGAAACGTCAGGAAGGAATTCCAAAAATTCACGGCTTTCAAACCCGAAAAAATCTCGGAAAACTTCGGCCGCGAAAGTCTTAACTATTTTGTCAATATAATTTTTGTTAGAAAACAACAATAAGATGAGCGTTTTGTATTCAAAAAAAGGGGTTCATTATCCCTGTCGATATCATAATATTCAGATGGAAAATTGTACTTTACAGTCATTTTCTGAATGTATTATTAACGAAACGGTTGAAATGTATCCTCGTGAAATTAGCTTATTTTTTCAATATTTTTAGCGAATTATTAGAACTCACCCTGCAAGAACCTCCCGTCGAACACCCTGGTTTGGGAACTGTGGTATCGGGATCAACTCTCAAATTAGAGCCGGCCGAAGATGCACCTGAAAAAATTATTCGATTAATTTGATGATTGTAATAAATTAATTAATGAGTACTTCAACAATCAGATATGGAATTTAAATAACAATTCATATGTTAGAATTGTTTTTACACATTTGACAGTTAGTTTTTATGTATCACATAAAGTTATCAACATTCCCAATTTTTAAGAAAACTGCAAGCTAATGAATTAATTGTCTGTAAGAACTGTGTTTCATTGGCTGAGATGAAGCAAAAAATTGAAATTTGATACAAAAAAACTTCGTTCACTGACTAATATAAATTTTATGTGATGGAATTGGCCGACTCTTGATGGAAGATTTTCACCCTGAACTTAATATCATCATGAATAAACAAAATACTTTCCAAAACAGTCTACGCATAAGCGATTCGAGACGTTTTTCCTATTGATAAGTTAGATAATCAATATTATAGAGCTCAAACGTATTTTGGACAAACAACGGAAAAAGTACCTTCATTTTTGAGAACACGAGATATTAAAATTGCATATAGAATAATTTATACGTTGGGAAAGTTAGTTACCAGTAATAAAGACAAAACATCTAAATTCCAGAAATCAAGAGTATCAAAAGTGTGGAAAATGTCCTAAAGTATATATTGGTCAAACTGGCAGAACATTTAGGAATCGAATCCAGGAACATCTCATGAGCTATGTAAATGAGAAAACAAGTTCAACATATTCAAATCATCTTTTAGAAGATAATCATATCTTTAACAAAGAGTTCGAAATTTTACACATAGAAAATGTAGGTTTGAAACTGAATCATTTGGAAGCAATGGAAATTAATAAAATTGAAAATTCAAACATTCTAATGATTGACCAACTGGATTTGAATAGATAACCATTATAGAACTTGTTTTTTTTAAACGACCGAGAAAGTATTATTATTGATGTAGAAGTGAGGTAATATACTTCAGGTAATCATAATTGAAGAGGTACTTCAGGTATATAAGAATTGTAGAGGTTTAGGTTATTTGATGGAGGGAGGTAGTCCCAAATGTAGTTACCTGTGGTATATAAATATTAGCGTAAAAAGCAACTTGTAGTATTCAAATTACTGTTGAAGAAGCTACTGTGTTAGCGAAACATGTCTTAATATATTTTCAAATAAAGTTTGTGGAGATCATATTATCGTGAGGTGTAGTTTATGAAAAGAAAGATTTTCACTAAACAGTTTACAAAACTGCAACAGTTTCTCTATACAATAGATTTCTATGGCATGTTTATAGTGACCAAATTCTACCTAATTAATACCCCAGGATATGTATCCTGGGGTGAGTACTACAACTGGGTAACTACAAATTTGACAAAATATGGATAACTGCAAAGAAAAATTCCATTACGTTGAGGTATATAAAACTGGATAGGGATAGTAGAAAACAAAAGTTGAGTGTTGGTATAAGAACTTCCATATTTTCAAAATAGAAGTCTGTTTTTTTCTCTGCTGAAGCTATTTCCTGAAGGGTTTAGAAAAGATTCTGGCTAAAAATGTTTTAAATTTTTTTGTGAACAATTTTGAAATATCACAATTCACAATTGATAAAAGCTATATTGTTTTTGAAGCTTTCACTTGTATAGTTTTGAAATTTGTTGTAACAAAGGCAAATTATTTTGCAATTTCAGTCATCAGTGCAAATAATGGTTTTTGGAAGTGCAGGATATTAGTGTGAATCATCCTGTAAGTTGAGAATTAATAGTTTAGTTTTTCAGTATACTGGTGTTTTTTATGTACAGAAGGTTCGAAGAGCAACGGATTGTTTTATGTATTGCAGTTGGAAAATAAACGTAAAAGAGAAACCATTGTGTATTATTTGGAGTAATGAAATCACCCTCAAATTACTGAAGAATACATTACAGGAAGGAAATAGCACAAAAAGTATTTTCCATTACTTGTTTTTTAAATAAAAAATTGTTACAAACAAATAAGTATTCATACATCATTTTAATAATAATAAAAATGCATCTTATAGTAAGAAAAAAAAACAATTGTGTTTCACAGAGTGAAGGATGGTTATTTTAGGAAGGAAAGGCTTCGGTTTTCTACTTCTCCATCTTCATACAAAAAAATGGGGGAACCTTCCAAAGAAAGGAAGAAAACAAATCATTCCAAAGATGTGTAGATCATGCAAAGAAGTAAGTTTCAGATACGAACTGGAAAAAAAAGCCGTCTCGAAACAACTACTTTCACATAAACATTGAATTACACGAAAGAAAAATACTTTCAAAACGACTACTTTTATATGAACATTGAATTATACAAAAAATACCCTTTATCCTATTCAGTTTGTGTTCCAAACATTCGGTATTGGATTGAAACAGATATCATCCAGAGGATTGCTACACAATATAGTAGATGAAAGATGTAAAATTTAACTTGCATGGAACACTGTCATCCCCAATGGCGGACATCGTGTAAATTTAATTGTGTATGACGAAATTATATTGAATTAGAATTCTTCAAAATGAATTGGTATTTGTACGCAGTGATATCCCCAAAGTATGCACCATATGGGAAACTTATTTATTAAGGGTTTTTCGACAAAATTTTATTCTTGATAAAAGTCTGTGCATTCCCTAAAACTAAACATGCACTAACAAAATACAGTAAATCACACGTAATATACGAGGAGCCTTCAAATATTTTATTTTGAGACAAGACTAAAGTATTCTTATTTTATAAAATTTCGGGAAATGTTATTCAGAAAAGCTGTTCAGCATTGAAAAATACATCTAGATTTCAAGTCATGGCCATCTAAGTGAAGTTTTATTTTTTTACCCATTTTTTTAAATGGGGACGAAAATAAAAACGATGAATAGAAATCATCCTGTATACGACGGTTTATTCTGGAAGCCTGCAATATTACAAATTATACAACTATGGTGTTCACCACGGTCAATTTTTTTGAAGAGTAAAATAAGTTTTAGGTGCAAAGTTATTTTAATTTTTTGGTAACACCGAAAATTACTTAAAATTATACTGTATTGTAACAAGAACTTAATATTCAATAATATTAAATCACAAAGCATCAAAATAAAATAGACAGGCAAAATAAGTTTTAAGTTGAATTTGCAGAAAATCAATGAGTTTGTTCCGAAATGCCTATTTTATTTTGATGTTTCGTAATTTGATATTATTGAATATCAAGTTCTTGTTACACTACAGTATAATTTTGAGTAATTTTCGGTGTTAACAAAAAATAAAAATAACTGCACCAAAATCTTTGAAAATTATTTCACTCTTCAAAAAAATTGACCGTGGTTAACAGGCTTTAAGATAAACCGTCGTATCCAGGATACTGTCTCTTTATCGTTTTAGCAAAATTTTTTTCGTAGTCCCCATTTGAAAAAATTGCTAAAAAAATAAAACTTTGCTTGGATGACCATGACTTGAAATCTAGATGTATTTTTTAATGCTGAACAACTTTTCTAAATAACATTTCCCGAAATTTTTCAAAATGAGAGTACTTTACTCTTGTCTCAAAATCAAATATTTGAAGCCTCCTCGTATATTACGTGTGTTTTACTGTATTTTGTTGGTACATGTTTACTTTTAGGGGATGCACAAACTTTAATCAAGAATAACATTCTGTCGAAAAATCCTTAATAAATAGGTTTCCCATATGATGCATACTTTGGAGATGATTTTCAAACAATAAGAATGAAATAGAGATATTCTTAATGCTTTCATCAATTAGAAATCAAAACAATCGTCCTTTAATATTCATTCATATTGCATATCTTTAATAGTTTTGGAAAACTTCTCTATTTTGAACTAGTATAAAATATAAATAAATACATTGAAAGAGAGGCTTCAATTCAAACTATGATAGTATGAAGACAATTTACCTTGTATTCTCTTGGACATGATGTGGCTAATGAAGTTTTCTCCCAAAAATTGATCAAATGAATTCTGCTTTCTTGTTGAATGCTACTTTGAAGAAGCACAGCTACAATTTCAACTCGATACTTGAAACATCTGTATAAGTAATATTTTCAGGTAGTAGACAAATAATTAGTGGGAGAAATCTCATAAATAGTTTATGGGGAGAAAGGGCTTATGTTCATTAAAATTATCAATAAAGGTACCTCAATTTATCTTTTGTATTTGCAAATAAATCCTGGAGCAGTGCTGTCCATAAATATGATATTTTGTGTACTTCAATTTAAACTTCTGGGATTCGTTGCCAAATTTTTCGACTCCAATGGAAATGGTAAAATGTGACATTAGTAGAGATAAAAAATACCATTGACTTCATCTCATTATTGAAATAACTAAAATTAACTGATATAGAAAAATAGTTTGGCAACAATTCTATTTGAATGAATTGAAGTTTCATCTTTATGTCTTTGGCATCGAAAACTATGATACGAGGTATATTCAGAAAATAATGGAAATTTTAAAATTTCACGGTTTTGGCGAGTTACAATATCAAAATGTTCTGTTTGCTTATGTATATTATATTATAATATATTCTGGCCAGTGTTTGCAAAAATTCAAAATATACATTATTCAACAAAAAGAATGAGAGTGCTAATGAACAAATCTTATACTCTTTACCATAGTTTCAAAATGAAAGGCTTCAAATTCTCAGAAGTGACTGACGATTTTGCCCTAATCCGTCTCAGTGCAGTGGCGTACGGAAATTATATTGAACAGGTGAGGAAAATATGATGATAAAATATAAGAATCACAACGTTTTGATGCAATAATAATTCTGAGAATTTAGGGCCTACTATTATGGAATCTAGCTTCAGCTATTGCATCTCAGCGTGGGGAAGCTTTAACTGCTCATCACTTAAAAATTTACTTTATGATTTCGTACTTAGGTGTTTTGAATATAAGTGATTCATTTACTTATCGAAGCATCCTATGAATTTTTATAAATAAAGGTGAATTAACAAGCAAATAATTGATGTAACCAGATCTAATAGATTATCGTCACTCCAAGTTTTCTTTTTTAGAAAAACGCATTCACAAAGATCTCTTTTTATTTGTTTTCCGTTTTTTTTTTCGATTTCATATTTTTCATCAACGTTCAAAAACGCCTTTTCGTTATAGTACATTGGTCCCATCATTCCATCCAAATATGAAAAATAGGTTCTCTGTTGATTTTTAAATTTAGTATCGGGATATACATGTTTCAATTGAATGTAAAAGCACAAGTGTAACTTGTAAACTCTATATTCAGTGAAATATCCTACAATATTAACTATACTTATTAGCTTGTATGAGCCTGAGGGTGGGGAACGAATAGTTCCAATAATATCGGAACTTCCACTACAGAGGATGCACTATTCAACAATCTTCAGTTCCTCGACACTAACGAGGTAATTTTTAAAACTTTGCAGAATCCTCAGTTCGTAAAATAACACCATTAATTGGTATTTGATTGTGCGGAATTCGCCTTCGAAGGTACTGAAGTGAAAATTTTTCACAAATAGTTATTTGATTTCAAAATGAAATTAGTACCTAATAAACATTGTAGATTCATATTATAATTTCTCTTTTGTGCACACACAAATTATAAGACCATGTAACCGAAATACTGCCCATATACGAGTATTCGAAGTCATGTACCTGAATTGGAAATCAAATTCGCATAAATGAATTGGGTTTCATTACTGCCTATAGTATACGAGTATATTTCTGGCCTTAATCAGAATTTTAGATAGGTAATCAATTTACCTGTTCATACATATTTATTGATCTTAAAAGTTTATAAGTCTGTTTGTAAATTTCAAATCATTTTAGTCAGTATTCATCATAGTGTAGTTTAGTACAAGATCAAGCAGCAAAGCAGAATATAGTTGAAAATAATTTTGACATTTTTGAAGAAAACTTCGCTCTTGGACGAAACATGTTTAGGACAAAACAAGGTAAATTTCATCATACTATTATAAAAAGTTATGAAACTAGTTTATAGTATATAAAATTATTGATGTATTATTGTGATTTTTTGCGGACATACGAGTGCGCTGTCACCAATGATATAATCCACAGTTGTGTCAACTCAGGATAAATTTGATTTTTGTTAAAATCTACACATGAAAACCTTCATTTGCCTTCGTACCTCTAACTAGAATGCCTCAACAAAAAATTGAGGCATAAGTTGTTTAATTCTCTCCAACTCGAGATACTCTCAGTTCGTGTTATCTTGGATAGTCTCGACAAAATAGAACTAGTTTTGAGGTTGAAATTTATTTTGTGAAAACAACTATTCGTGCAGTACTGAAGAATTGAAATGTGGGTTCTCTCTCATTGAAGGCAAATATTTTGTCTTACTTTTTTTCTTGTATGTAAATTCCTTTGCTATAGAAACGTATGTGTTTTCTTTTATCGTCCCAACTGTAACATTTATATCCAGCTTTGAACTGACCAATCGAGTTGCTGAACTCGAGTAGAATTTGACTGATGATTTCAATTCACGTAATCTCGAGTTGGCAGAGATACTACAGGTTAAATATATTCTTTGAATTACATTTTTATGAGGAGTTATTGCTGCTTTCTGAAAGGAACAAAGGATGGGTATTCCAGTAAATCTGGATATCTTTTTCGAGGATATTACTACTCTTAAGCTCTTAATCTGAATAAATGGTTCGAGAGAATTCTTGCTACCTGGAAATGATACAACTGAGTTAAACATTATGAAATGAAGTTGTTATAGTTCAAGACTCTGCTAGTATACACATTGAAATATCCTATAAAAAAATTCACTGGCTGCGGTCTGTTCAGGACAACGTATAATAAATTGTCATTATATTATTACAGTAAATTGAGATAATATGTACAATATCATTGAACGAATAATTTTTTTAGAACGATTGTAATGAGTACGTTATTCTCGCATTATGAATGCATTTCACATATAATTTACCCGAGATATATTTGAAATTCGTTCAATTGAATATGCCTTGAAAGTAGCTTTTGAATTATCACATGTGCTTTCTACGAGTTCCATTTTTTGATGAATAAACAACAAAATTTTTAAAAAAATCATGTGGGTTTCCAAAAATATCGAAATTGATGTTCACGTTTACGTTGATAGAAATTCAATAGCAATTATGACAGATAGAGCTTAAGGCTCTGGCATGGAATGCCGGGCATTTCACTGGAACTGCAACATTCTTTTCGACGATGTTTCACCAGCTACGTTGGTGTTTTTGTAGTATCTATAAGGATTGGATTTTAATTTATCATGAATATTGGTAATCCAACACAAATAATTCCCTTGCACAGAAATGTTTATAAGCTCTGCAGATATTTCGAAAAATCTGGATATTCCACTATTTTCTGGATGCTTAAAATACGTCAAAAGAAAGGAATCCTAAAGATTGTAGTTGTTTGAAACAGTTGAAATATAACCAGCTATTCTAAATTATTTCATAAATGATCAAATTATTCAACCTATACACTTTTTTTATGTAAAAATCAATGGATAGATCTATTTGAAATTTATATTTCTTCAGATATGGAGGTATCTTCAACTCGACTCGATTCCGCAGGTCCCAAAAAAGGCTCCTCGGTGGCAAGTTCTCGTAAGGTAAGTGTCAATATACTGTTGGCTGAGAATGTTAAAATATTTAAAAAATTCTCTGTTTTTCATTTAAGTATAATACTATCTGTCTTTTATTGTTTCTTGGGTATTTTCATTATCCACAATCTGGTAAAAATGAAAATTGCTATAGAGAACTTCATAGGTTGAGTGGAAGAACAACTCAGTAGCACTTGTGCTAACTAAGTTGAACTTCGCCTTTTGTTATGTCAGCAACTAGCTCTCTAATTTATTTAAATATTTGTATGTAACTACAGCTGGGTAACAATGAAGACGATTATTATTATTATTATTTAAATGTACAAAGGAAAAACGTTTAAGTTCACCTCGATGAGTTACCTACTGCGGGAATTCAAACTCTTTTTCATAGAAAAATTTTATATTTATCAGTAACTTTCCGTGTTTGATAATTTTGTCTATCAGTCCGAGAGCTAGGAAATTGTACAGTTTCTTATTTTAACTGTTCGGGGTCTAAAATATGCCTTTGCCTTTAAAATTGAAAAAAATCTAATGCAGTTTGTTTTTTTTGGGTCGCTTTATTTTCAAACGTCCTTGACATATGTTAAAGGAGGTGGGAATTTTCAAAAGAGGTCGATGGAAAAACTTTGATTTCCTCCACAATAACAACTTTCGTTTGCGGAGGTGTGAGTCTCAATTTGTTCTTCACAGTTGGAAAACTTTTTCATTATCGATTTGTCGGAAAATTTTACTTTCTGTACGAGGTTTTACATCATTCTGAACCTAGATAAATTCCTAAAATCTAGATATCTCTGCATCATGCAGAAATAAGCAAAAGTTACGTACGTAAACTACTGTCAAATTTCAGAACACGAACAAATTTTATTGGGGAAAGTTGTTTGGATCAATATGTTATTCGTTCGAATATGAATTCAGTTTTGAAACTAATATCTCGATTTTCTACGGTTAGATCAAACGAATCAAATAAATCGGATTTTTCAATGTAGGTGGACCACTAGTCATTTTATATTTACACAAATGAATTTTTTTTTAATTGAAGTTTTAAATTATGGCAACATGAGTGAATGAAAATAATTCGATAGCTAGAAGGTTATACTCGAAAATTATGTGATGCTACACGATGTCAATTTAAACATCTGTTTTGAATGAAATTTGTCTGTAGTTTACTCTTGCAGCAATTGCTCATCTGTATAGAGTTTTTTAAAGAAATTTATGTATGTTATCCAGGATGGAGATGCAGAAGATTTCTGAAGGGTTTGAATTGTATTGACTAATCGCTAATGAGAGACAGTTTTCTATTTGAAACAAACTCAAATATTTGAAAATGCACAGTTCACGAACTACCGAGTTTAAGAGCAAAATATTTATTTTTTCAAATCATCTGTTATCTATTGATGAAAATGTGAATATAACTGATTTACAAAAAAGCCAATTTTGGAAAAACAATCTTTTGAAGGAATTTTATGAGCCTTATCATACGGCTTGCGTTAAAATTCTGCTTGAATAAAGAAAGCGGGGACTGAGAAACCTGAAAAATCACTCCTAGACTCAAAATGTATTTTTTCTCTTTCTGTGATTTATTAGTAGGAGAAAATGTTCAGCAGCCTCTCTTCTAAACATTGTGTGTTCGGTAGTCTGAAATTTCAACTTTTTCCAGGGTTGTTGCAGTAAATGTAGGACGAACAGTTCAGCGCAAAATATATCTAATGAAGAAAGACAACAGAGCACTGTCAGATCCAACTCTGGTCGCCCTTTCATTTCACCGAATCTTTATGTACCTGATGAGACTAGTTCAAGGCAACAAAGAAATTTCGAAAATAGAAAAAACGAAGCATCGATGCTTCGTTCACGGTATTCTTCAGGCTCACCCACTCAACGAAATGCTGTTGATAATGGTTATCGTGTGAGTTCAAGAGAGTTCGTCAAATTCCAAGAAAACAGAAAAATTCAATCCAATATGTTGAATAATCCGAATCAAATGAAAGTAAGACAGAATAAACGTGTTGAATCATTGATTGTGAGAAAAATCGAAGAACTCCTTGCAGAAGATATGAAAAATTCGACCAGAAAAATCCAAGAGGACAAATTACCAAAACTTAGCAAGACGCCCAAACACAACAATGAAATTGAGAATGCCATCTGCAGTTCCATGAATGATCTACGTGTTGTAATGGAAGATGAAAAAAGTGACACTGATGATAAAGTAGAGCGACTCATATCAGAAATGTATGCTGAGGATACTGAGGTTAACAATAACACAGATAGATTGAGTGATTCCACCTTTGAAGAAAACAGAAAAATTCAATCCAATGTGTTGAATAACCCGAATCAAATGAAAGTAAGACAGGATAAACGTGTTGAATCATTAATTATGAGAAAAATCGAAGAACTCCTTGTAGAGGATATGAAAAATTCGACCAGAAAAATTCAAAAGGACAAGTTACGAAAACTTAGCAAGACGCCCAAAAACAACAACGAACTTGAGAATGCCATCTGCAGTGCCATTAATGATCTACGTGTTGTAGTCGAAGATGAAAAAAGTGGCAATGATGATAAAGTAGAGCGTCTCATATCAGAAATGTATGCTGAGGATACTGAGGTTAACAAGAACACAGATAGATTGAGTGATTCAACCTTTGATGATGTTATGAATCAGATCTCAGGCGTCTCAAACAGAACGAATGATTGCACCAAAAACGTGCCTTCGCGGCTAGTTACCAGTACTCCTAAGAAAGTTAAAAAAACATGTGATCGTCGAGATGCGCCTTTCAACTATGAAAACATTTGCATACTGCTGTCTGATCTACTGCAGAGTACCAAAGATGAAGTAGATGCTTTAGCACAGTCGGAAATCACATTGAAACGCGGTGCCGTTAAAGACGAAACGCTGGAAAGTACCACGTTGACTGAAGATGACTATTACATGGACTTTTGAATCTTTATTAGTTCTTTCCGTCATAATGAAATGACGAGCGAATGTTCAGGCAAGGATTTCTGAATTTCCAGTTTGTTTGTGTGGGTTTTTTGAATTCATTTTTGAGTATACTTTCGTTATATATGAGATGTATGTTAAAATTAGCGTTGTAATATTTTAGTGTACCTGATTGTTTTACTTCAATAGATAGAATAGATTTTCCTATAACGTGTTTTTTTCAATTTACCAGCTGATTACTAATTTGACCAAGACCTAGAACTATTCAAACAGAGTTAACTGAGCGAAGGCGTATCCCAACCTATAAATAAGCCATTATGGTGACAAACTCATTGATTGTACATCCCCATTTTGTTTATTTCCCTAATTACTTCAATGAAATTCAAATCATTGAATATGCTCACAAAGATGCACTTTTTGATGTCAGGTGGCCTCACAGACCCGAGATAACCACATATCTTTCTAAGGTCCTCGCGGGTTATCGGGGAAGCCACTATGAAACGATAAAATAACTTTTGACGTTTCGATGAACTGTTATTGTTAGTTAGTTACTGAGTGCATTGTTGGAGATTGCATTAATAACGGAAAAAAGTTGTATATGCCACAATTTTAAAACATTAAAAAAGGAAGTGTATATGCAGCTTCTTCATAGACAATGTTGGCAGCTTGTTTTTACTGCTGTACTCGAAACAATATCCCGGGGAGAAATTACATCAGGCCGTTTATTATTTATTTATTGAGCTTTTTTCCCGTGTGACATATGTCACAAAAAGGATTTGAAGCTTTATAACTTCTATTTATTATATGTGAGCGCTTTTGAGAAAGGTTAATGCAGTCAAGCTGCTGGAAAATAATTTCATGAAAATTAAAAGATACATAAATAAGTACCATTCTGATTATTCCCATATCGATTTAAATTTAAGAGCCACCGGTAGACAGCTGTTTCAGCCTATTGGGCATCGTCTGTACCGGGCAGGTGGTACTCGATTGAAGACAAATTGAGAAAAATCAAGAAAGTACTTGATAAAAATAACTGCGTAAACGCAAGCGAAACATAAGTGGAACCACCTATTGGTGTGACACCCAAGTCAACTTGACAAGTTTTTTATGTCAGTGTTGGTGGTTTGACCAATTAACCGACAGCTGCGGTAGCAGAAATTTGGGAAGCTAACCTGAAATGCCATCGAAAAACGAATCCATATGTTTCTAGAAATGATATGAAATCTAGAAAGGTTAATGCAGTCAAGCTGCTGGAAAATAATTCCATGAAAATTAAAAAATAATTAGATAAGTACTTTATGATCACTCCCATATTGATTTCAATTTAAGAGCCACAGGTATACAGCTGTTTCAGCCTATTGGGCATCGTCTGTACCGGGCAGGTGATACTCGATTGAAGTTAAAATGTGAACAACCAAGAATTGTACTTAATAAAAATAACTGCGAAAACGCAAGTGAGACATAAGTGGAACCACCTATTGGTGTAACACCCAAGTCAACTTGCCAAGTTTTTATGTCAGTTTTGGTGGTTTGACCAATCAACCGACAACTGCGGCCAGAATGGCCAGCCCGCTCACCAGATTTGACACCTTTGAATTTTTTTTATGGGGCTATTTGAAGCAAAAGGTGTACGAAACTGAACCTGCTTCAATATTGGATATACGGCAGAGAATAATAAATTTTTGTAGAAATATTGATGTTACTGTGTTCAAAAATGTTCGGCGTGAAATATCAGATAGGCTGTTCATATGTCAAGAAGTTCAAGGCAACCATTTCGAGCATCTTCTGAACTGACCTCAAGCTTATTACCTCATATTATGTAGTTAAATGTCAATGTATTCAGGCAATTATCAAAAGTTTCGCCATTTTGTAGTAGTTGAAGATATTGACATTATATTCTATGGGAAGCTTTTTTTTCGAAAAGTTTCAATGAAGTTTAACTTTGGCACTTGTTTATGCTTTAAATTTAACTCAAAATGATGCTGCCAATTGCGACCCACTGACGTTCAGTGTTTGTCAAATTCAATTTTTTTATGAAAAAAATTGAAAAAGTGCATTTCTAGATCGAATTTAACAAAAAGTTATTTGAAAAGGTTGTGTCAACTGCAATTTTATATCCATATGCCAAATTTTATGCAACTAGGATGAAGTTAACGTTTTGCTTATTTTTGACAGATATCTCTTTCATTTTAAAAAACAAGTTCGGTTAATTGTCATCAATTCATGTATACATAACAGACTCATCATGGAGTTTAACTTTTCTGATACATTTTTACTCATACGGACATTTTTAACATGACTGGTGCAAAGTTTCAATCACTTGGCTATTTTCTTAAACAAACCTTTGATTTCGAAAAAGCAGAGGCAAAAAATGCAAATAATTTCGATAGAACTATTATTATTATTATAAATTTTAAACAACAATAATATTATAGAAAATACAAATGGGTACAAAAACTTACTTATTGATCTAAATGCGGTTGTCAAACACTTATAGCCTACATTTCAGTATGTCGTCCTCCACGTTCAATACAAATTATGGTCCTTCTACTGACATCTGTAACTGCATTTTTAATAAATCGGAGATTTATATTTGCACAGCACTCGCGAATGGTATTATTCAGATGTTGTATCTGTCAGTAAATGGTCTACTTCGGAACACTTTTTGTTTCAGGTAACCCCACAAGAAAAAGTCTAAAGGCGTCAAGTCGGGTGATCTAGGTGGCCAATAATGTTCCCAGTTACGTCGAATAACTTTGCCTCTGAACATTTGTTGGAGGGACTGTTTTATAGCAACCGTGTGATGTATTGGTGCGCCATCAAGCTGATACCATAGGTCGTATTTAATATTCAAAGGCATATTATCTAAAACTTCACTAACCTCATTATTTAAAAGGTTGAGATAACCAATGATGAGTTTGTTATGTATACATGAATTGATGACAATTAACCGAAATTGTTTTTTGAAATAAAGGAGATATCTGTCAAAAATTAGCAGAACGTTAACTTTATCATAGTTGCATAAAATTTGGCATATGGATAAAAAATTGCCGTAGACACAACTTTTTCAAGTAACTTTTTGTTAAATTCGATCTAGAAATGCACTTTTTCAATTTTTTTCAAAAATAAAGTTGAATTTGACAAACACTGAACGTCAGTGGGTCGCTGTTGGCCGCATCATTTTAAGTTAAATTTAAAGCACAAACAAGTGCCGAAGTTAAACTTCATTGAAACTTTTCGAAAAAAAAGTTTTCCATATGGTGCGCACTTTAATGGTGACACTGTATATGGCGTAGTGGACATCCCACTGAATCAACTGCAGAAAGAGTTAATAACTAGTTGGAATTATATTTGTTTGGTTGTGATACGCAGACGGTCCACACCGTTCTGAAGAGACCATGCCCGGTACTGATGATGGGGCAAGTATCCTGAAACCGATCTATCGGTTGGTGGTAACGACTGAATAAAATAAATTTTTGCTTTTCATAACTGGTTACAAATCTTCCATATTTACCAGAAATATAAGGTTTTTATCAAGTTTCGTTCAATTTGATTTAGCGAATTTTCCGGAAAATGAAAAAATATCCGAAGTGTGATAGTGATAGTGAAGATAATGAAGAGTTGAAATTAGGAGGGATATAAAAGTAAAACTAGAGCAACTCTTTCTTGAGGTATTTTTGTTAATGTCCACAATAATCTGGTTTTTCAATCAAAATATTTGAAATTTGACAGATCCGGATTAGCACATGGCAACTAAAATACATATTTTTTGGATTTGGTAAAAACCACATGAAATCGATGTACACTTCCGTATGCCCATAAGTAAAGCCTTGAATATTTCATAATGGCTAAACGTTCGGAAAATAACACCTCACATATTTTAACAACCGTGAAAACTTTCACTACAGCACCAGGCTGGTTGATATATATTCAAGATATATGATTTTTATGGAATATAAACGAAGCTCCATTCCCCGAAATTTTTCACCCTTATTCCACCCTTCTTATTCATCACTCTCGCTAATACATTTATAGGGTTTTCACGAATCCATTTTTTGGAAGTTAATATCCCAAATGCTCATAAACGAAATTAATTTTCAACAAATGTTTATTTATAACCTTATTCATTGATGGAATATACCATTTTCAGTTTAAACTATACAGATTAATCTGTGGGACGTTCTACTGGCATTAAAGGAAATCATTGCAAAATTTCACGAAATCATTTCTTGTATATAATTTAATTAAAAACATAAATTGAATCATTAATTCCGATTAATTTATAATTTCTACCCACCAGGCATTATTTATTGGTTCATCAATCAACTTCAGTCGATTGAAAACTGAAAACTGAACAGTGTACGAATATACTTGTATTTTCAATTTCACAATTAAAATAAATAAGGTATACAGGTTGCGACATGAAGTACAGTCTAATATGCTATAAATTTGAAAGAAGTAACTACTGACTGACATCCACCGAAACTGGAAACAGATTAATCTTTCGATTTTTATGACATAATCGATGTTAAAATCAATGTACAATGAAATAGATTTAAGAGTATGGTAATAGCGTTTCCTATTGAATTGTATAGAAACTAGCCATTCGCACATTACAGATAACTCTATCTTCTATTATAGATAAATTTTGTGACAAATTTGATTACTAGTTTTGTCTGTTTGTCAAAAAATTTCGAGTCCTCTGTCACTGGTGAGCTATCCATAAAAGTGTAATGTTTTTCTTATGTTTTTTTATGTATTGTATATGTTTTTGTGTTTTGTCGATTCTCGAGGGCTAGTCAATAAATATGATTGAAGAAAATCGGATTTCTTTCAAAACGTCGAAAACTAATGGAAATATCATCTAACAAACTTACAGTCTTGAGCAACATTATCACCGTTTTCATTTACTATATTCAACGAATATTTGGACGTTCGTGAAGACGGATTCTTACGGCAATGATAAATGTTTTTTTTATTCTACCTAGGGATCTACACATTTTTGGAAATGAAAAACTGCCTGTAATACTTGCTATATCATATAGGTTTCTATTCGAGGGGACCATAGCCGCAAGGTAGAGTTGCAACTTTCTAGTTATAAATTGTGTATTGAAATTAAAAATATACATTCGTTTCTATAGCAAACGTTATCTGAAAATTCCTGTACTGAA